CTCCCTTCCTCTCTGAAATCAATAAAAGTATGTCTTTAAAAATATCCAGGAAGATATTAGTCATACACCAACGTATCCCTGGCTAGTAAGTGTAGGAGCAGTGTTAATTTAGTTGAATCTTCTCTAATTTATTCTTTTTATTCACAATTACAAAGATGATGGTAAATTAAGAAGCACTGTGATTTTATTCTCTCCCAATATTATATGTTATATCTTCAACTAGTAAATCAAGTCACACTGGAGATGCTGAACACAATACAATATGCAGATGGTGTATTATAGAACTGTACACCTGGAATCTGTATGGTTTCATTAACCAATGTCACCTCAATAAATTCAATTTAAAAATGGGGGTGGGGGGAGACCAAAAAAATAAAATGAAAAGACAAAACACAATCCTGAGGCTGTGGGAGGCCTGACCATGGTTTCACTACAGCTTTCTGGAGACGGAGACTGCAGCCCAGGTCCCAAGCATCTTCAAGATCCACATTAATTCCCAGCTTTTAAAAGCTCCATGTACAGAAGAAAGCCTCTTCTGCAGTGAATGCGTTCATACGTTTCCATCAGCTAAGAGGCATTTTGGAACGTGATCAGGTGCTACTGAACGTCAAGTCCTAGAGCCGGGCGGCATCTGACAGCTTCCCTAGGCGACCGCTGCTCTGTGAAGCCACCGTGTCTGTCCCCCAGGGGCCACGGGGAGAAGACCCCAACTTAACAAGCGAAGACCGCCAGGCCCAACCCCACGGCGACCTCTCATGCTAACTCCACCTCCGAAATACACAGTTGGATTTTGCCGGCTTTCGCGCTGCGAACAATTCAGGTTCATACATGCATGTGCCATCCTGCCCCTCAAGGAAGAAGTGACAATACGCTCCAGCCACATGCGCCTGCCAAACGCTTTCCTCCAGCCAAGTGTGGAAACCAGAGCAGCACTCCGCACAGCCCAGCCACACACACACACACACCCACACACACACACCAGAGCACCACTCCTCCAAGCCCAGCCACACGCACACGCGCACACGCACACACACACACCAGAGCACCACTCCTCCAAGCCCAGCCACACGCACACGCGCACACGCACACACACACACCAGAGCACCACTCCTCCAAGCCCAGCCACACGCACACGCGCACACGCACACACACACACCAGAGCACCACTCCTCCAAGCCCAGCCACACGCACACGCGCACACGCACACACACACACCAGAGCACCACTCCTCCAAGCCCAGCCACACGCACACGCGCACACGCACACACACACACCAGAGCACCACTCCTCCAAGCCCAGCCACACGCACACGCGCACACGCACACACACACACCAGAGCACCACTCCTCCAAGCCCAGCCACACGCACACGCGCACACACACACACACACACACACAGAGGAGAGTATGGAGAACTGGCAGGCTGCGTGCCGATATCCACCGTAGTCAACACGGGAACCTGGAGCAGCAAGCAGCTCGCCAGGAAAACCACGGCCTGGGACCCCACTAGTGCGTGCCACCCCGGGTCTCGGACCCACTTCACTTCCCACCCAGGATGCCAGTGCTGCGCCCGGTTGGCTGCATCAACCCCCAGACACCCCGGGAGCGAGCCTC